TGACAAGGTTTTGTCATCATCAGGTCGTCAAGTGTCACCTGATGATGACAAAACCTTGTCAAAGCAAATGTACATTTGCTGTCATGTTAAACTTATATTAAAGTTTTTCTTCATTACCCATTTAAGCCGTCTCCAGCCATTATTAGTCTCAAAGTGGGTTCCTCGTCATCGAATTTTTGTTGTTTGTTGTTTAGCACAAAGCTACATAATGGGATATCTGTGATGGGTATTGAAATGTGATTTGTAGCACTATTAGTCCTCAGACTTACCACAGAGCCACCACAGGAAGGGGGAGGGGGGATTTTAAGGAAAGAAAGCTTCATGTCTTGATTTAATTTCTTTTAACGTTAGGAAACAGTCACTTATTTTATACTTTAATACTTTTCCTTACTCTACTGCACAGTTTTTGTTTTTCCCACTTGAAAAAAAAAATTGAAAAATGTGCAATAGTTACATAACATAAAAAACCTCTTAACAAATGTTATTACAGATAGAAAATTTCTTGTACTTGCATTTGCAACCAACTTCAGTTAAAACATAACGAGGTTGACAGACGCTACAATCACGGCCAGTAATGCCTGGTATGCAAGAACATTGGCCTGTTCTTTTGTCACATACTCTGTTACGAGAGCCATAAGCATTACAACTGCATGGTCTGCAGGTTCCATCTTGTGTTATAGGACTTCCATAATAGCCATCTTCACACCTAATAAGATTTAAAAAATTAAAATAAATTATGTTAGAGAACTGAATTTTTTATTCCAAACAAATAAACGACAGTTTGTATAACACAGAAAAAAAAAGATATACAGTATGTAAAGAACACGCTATTTTTTGGATTTACTATGAGAAGCAAGAACTCGTGATAAAGACTGCATTAATCAAAAGTATGCATGTTAAAATTAAGTTTAATCTTAGCTATTATAGCCAGGCTCACAATAAATGATGTAGTAATCACATAAACAAAAATCCTAAAGAATTAAGAAACGTCTCTCAATAATTACTATTACTGAAGAGAAAAAATATGAAAAATTGAGAACAGTACTATACATAGACAAATTTAGACATACCAGTAAATGGTCATCATATTCTCACATTGTACGGTATACACATTCAAGTGCTTGTCAGTTAAAATATTCTTTACTCTCTTGTAATAATTAAGTTCTAGTCCTTTATAAAAACTTAGAAAGTATATAAGTTATGTGATATTAAGAGAATTAACTTTTCATATCAACCACATAGAGAAATTATGAAAGGAATGAATGAGAATGATATCTGTGTATTTTTCTTTGAAAACAAAAACAAAACACCTAATGGATTAAGTATGGTCTTAAGGTAAATAAAAATGAATCCTAAGGAATCGAGGGTGATTTCTATATATTCATCATTTAATGAAAATCAACTAAAGAATTGTAGTTATCATTAAAACATCGTGAAGGATTGGGGATTATTTTAATTTTATAAGTAAAAACATTGTGAAGGATTGGGGATTATTTTAATTTTATAAGTAAAAACATGTGAAGGATTGGGGATTATTTTAATTTTATAATTAAAAACATCGTGAAGGATTGGGGATTATTTTAATTTTACAATTAAAAACATCGTGAAGGATTGGGGATTATTTTAATTTTACAATTAAAAACATCATGAAGGATTAAGATTTTAATTTAAAAAGGAGAGTATATTGGATAAACTTCAACTAATTATATTTATGTTTGAGCATTTTTAATATACTTAATTTATACATGGAGTGTATTACGTGTTTGTACATTTGGAAAAAATATGTATTTAAATTAGATTATTTATGTTTAGTTGAAAAATGGTATTTTAATGTTTTTGTTATAGATTTTCAGTAAAATTATATACTGAAGAGTGACCTTTAAAGTCACAAAACTGTTTGAAGAAATTAACATAAGAGAGAAAAAATATTATAGTCTGATATTCAATACTTCAAAAAAATATTAATTTTGTAACAATTAGTTTACTGGATTACAACAAGTAAGGATCTTTCCCAATTGAAAAATCAAAACTAAGCTTTGCTTGATAGATGAAGAATATATCTATAAAGGAAAAGACAAAATCAAATAAAATGGATTAATAAACTCACTAAATTAACATGACATTGGTTAAAGATAATAAAGGAATAACAGAAGAGCTAACATAACTAAAAAGATTCCTTTTCTCTCAAACTGCATACCCTAAATAAAATTTACCTTTCACACTGTCTACCTGTATAGCCTTTCAGACAATTGGTGCAAATGTAGTCACTACCGTCAGCTTGACATGTATCACTAAAACTAAAAAAAAAAAAAATAGTTTGTTTTAGCTTCAATGGACATGTATGAAAACATTTCAGTTTTCTTATTATTCTCTCTGTTAATTAAAATCTACTTTCTGAGATGAAAATGCATATTTACATAGAAACATATCTATTCATGATGCACCCGTTGTTGTTGTTTTCTACTATATGGGTTTTAAATAGTACTGAGGCAAACAATGTTAACTCTGACTAAGTTAACATGATTTCAAGAACCTGTGAAAGATTATAAATATTTGCAGAGGAGGAAAGACCTATATAGGCCTGGAGTTTAGATTAATAAGCCTAAAATGATAAATTATTCTTAAGTCTTACAATTTATTTATTAACAAAAATGGAAACTCTTTGAACCTGACGCAGTCTCCAGGAATTCTTTTACTTTTATGCAATCTCGAGGTGAGATAACTGTTCTTGCATCTAGCATGGTACCTATTTTTGGGATAAGTTTTTTTTGTTTACTCTTACTATTATTATATTTTTAAATATCTTATCACCAATGTTCTGATTGTTTAGTTTATTCTATGCAAAACATTTTGCCTAGACATTTGATTAAAAAAAAAATTAAGTTTTATTATATAAAAGAAATAAGGATCTCTGGAGTTACAGACAATTACCTTTTTAGTCAAAACTATTTAAGTATGTAGTACTTGAATACTTCATACCTTATTTTTCTACAATACCTATTTCACATCTACAAATTTATTTTTTCTGAAAAAATTGGGCAGTGAAATTGAAGAGCTAATTTCCAGGCATACATATCTGCAATAGTTAAATCTATAGAAGATGTAATACAAATCAATATATAGCTTATTTTCTTAAGGAAACATTATTTGACAAAAAAATACGACATCATTTCCATCATTTCATAGAGTAATGTCAATCTACGTTTAAGGAAACAAAAGACAAGTTTCATGGCCATTTAACCAGAAATGCAACAAGAAAAATGCTGAATGAAAGAGTAACATTATTGGCTACACCATGCCTGCTTACCACAAAGCACAATGAGCAGCATGTGGTTCCATGAACCAGTGCACGCTTGCTGCTCATATATGAATGAACCTGATGTTATCAAGTATAATTATTTTCACTATACAGAGGATACATGGTTCAGTGATGGTATGAGGGGAAATTTCCTCCGGGCACCATTTAAAGAGGGTGCCACCTGGAGCTGTTCACCGAAGGTAAGGATGCCAAAAAAAAAAAAAAGAGAACTGCCCCAGGTGCAGTGAATCCTCGTATTGCCACTGACGTGGTTATTCATACACAGTAATGTACCTTATATAAATATGCCAGATCTCTCAATAAGTATAATCATTTAAATAGTTTATACATTAACTAGTGGAAAGAAAGTACTATTTGATGAAAAAGCTAATTACAATTTGTTCATACAAGTTTAACAACAGAGTTAAATATGATGTAATGTTTCTCGAGACTGTCAGTTTTTAAATAATCCATGCTTTCCTTAATTGCTTAAATGTTGGCTATGTAGTCATGGGTACAAATACAGAAAAACAAGTTTAAGCATGGGACAATTTATTATAAAGCACCATATAAGTTTATCAAACAAAAGATCTCAGAGAATTGTATATGACCTTGAAAGAGCTATTGTTTAATTTGACGTACATAAATGTGTCATCAAGTTTGAGCAACACAGACCAGCTATTATTTGCTATTTGTCACTACTTAAACCTAAAACAACAACACCTAACTAACATAATCTTAAAGTTTATCTTATAGTTCCATTTATTGACCGAAGTATAGAAATAGATAAATTAGAATCTGTAGTCAGACACTTCTACAACAGTTATTGCCTAATATTTGCAAAATTAAATACCCTTCTATTGGCTATTCTTGCAAGAAGGCCATTGGCAGTAGAATCTTTAATCATAATAAAATGTCAAAAAAGTAGTTGTAAATGCACCAAACAAATTATTAGTAGATAACTCAGTAAAGTTTTACAAGAAAATGTAAAAATATTTCTATTTAGAACCTGGGTAGATACAGTCAGACATAATACATAAATGAATGAATTCACAATTAACAACAATGAATATGTTATGGGTAAGAAAAAAGTTGTTAAACATTTATATTATTTCCATTTGTGAAAGTTTTATGTTACAAATTTGTGTAAAGAACTAGGATTTAATTTGAAACAAAATTAAAACCTTGAGTAATGAGGTGTATAAACACATTAACACCAATAAATGTAATACAGTTTTATGAGACTTTGATGTACATTCTATTGCATCCTACAAAGTGACACCCAAGTTATGTTGGATCCCCAGACTACATGAAACACAGTACAAATACAGGTCTTGCAGGCACAGGCATGATAAACCTACATCTAAGAATGTCAGTTCTGATAGGTAATGGTCTGAAATTCATTAAAGAACATTTAAAGAAATACTGTAATATTATCAGAGAGATAATCGGTATGAATCCTTTCATTATCATTGGTAATTCCATTGAATGTAAAGAGAAAATTAAAGGTTTTTAATTAAAACAATTAAAACATTTGATTTCAGTAATCTTTACACTAGTCTTCCTATTGATAAAATTAAAAAAGATTCTTTCTTCAACAACAAAACTTTCTATGACAATGTCAACCACAAAAATACCATTGTTTCACTTTAAATAAATTCTTGTAGGTAATGTATTTTTCACTTGAAAAAAACATTTGTGCATTTTGGTCAACAAATACAAGGACTTCCAACTGGAGGTAACTTCAGCCCACAAGTTGCAGATTTGTATTTATACATACTAGAATTTTCACACATTACAAACCTTACTAAAGACTACAGTAAAGCTTTGCATATCTTTCATGTTTGTAGATATATAGAAGGTACATTTAATCATCAAGACTTTCTATACACAACTGAACAAATGTATCCACCAAGGTAGTGTTTCAAAGCAAGGGATGGACCTGCATCCCTAGAGGCTTTGCAGATTACTACCACTGGCAGGATTAAAGACCTGCAACACAGGTTATATGGACCATGTACAACTATTAGCCCCAGCACTAACTGCATCACTGTTAAGAAAGTTTGAGTTAAATAGGGGAGCATCCACCTCAACTGCAGTCAAATTACTGCTTCCCTTAAGGTCCCGAGAGTACCACAGTGGCAGCTGAGACACTGACCTCCCAACAACCCCACCTACCACCATAACCATACAACTAACCTTAAAGTAGATTATAATGCTGCATTGAAGGGACACCTTACCCTCCTGATTGGAAGAGGAAGTCTGCCAGCTGCACACAAAGCTGGCACAGACAAGGAAAGCCTTGGTTAAGGCCCAAGACATCATCCATGACACTAACATGGCCAGTCATTATACAGCTGTTGCTTCAGAGGGTCTGTTGACGAGGTAAAGGTGAGGAGAATCAGACCTCACACTTGTTGTTGGTTAAGTGTATCATAGGTATTTCTGCTTTGTTTTTGTTTTACTCTGTTTATTTAGATTCAAGGTTTTTGTGTTGAATAGTTATGAATGTATTTCTTTTATATATATATATATATATATGTGTGTTATTTTTGTTGATTATTATTACATTTCAGTATATAAAATGTTTATTTTGTAATTTATTTAGTTTGTTTCAGTAAAGGGTTTTTATTTTATGTTTTTGGTGTTAGAGTTCTAGCTTATTTTTTATCTTGTAAAGGGTCTATTGTTTTTTTAATTCTTATTCATCAATGAAGGGTTTTGTTTGTATTTGTTAAAAAGTATGTTCAGATGATGTAGAAGCAGTAAATTTTAGAGAGTTTAAGAAAAAGCTTAATAAGTATATGAATGATAAGGGCTGGGTTTAAAATGTTTTTTATTTCATTTTTTTTCAATTATTTTAATTTAGTTTTGAGGATGGAACAGCCGAGATGGATCAATAGGTCCCATGTTGTCCCAAAATATTTTATGTTATGTTATGTTTATTTTGTGAAATGAACTGTTGTTAAATAATTTCATTTCAATCCTTTGAGGTCTTTTATCATCACTGTTAATGGGTTTGTCAGAAATTTTGATTCTGTAACTTGCATTGTGTTTAAATTTTGAGTCTATTTTGTCTTGTACGTGGTGAATTTAATTCTGTATTATGACTATTTTTTTCAGTGTTAAAGGATTTTTCAGAGTGGCTGCATCATTGTTATAGTGGATTTCGATAATATGAAATTTTGATTTCTTATATTAGTTAAAGGTTCGGGTTGTCTGCTTTGTTTGTAAGTATTTATAGGGTTGAGAGAAAGTTATGTGATTCTTTGACCAGTGGAGTTTAACTGAACCAACATCACATCACATTTAGTAAAATCGATTCTATATTTGTTACTTCTACCAACAGTATACTAACCTGTTTGTTGGTAAAGGACAAGCACAAGGATAGCAGGGGCCTTTTCTTGGATCTCCATAGTAACCAGGGGCACAAAGTTCACAGTGTGGACCTGCTGTGTTACTTGTACAGTTCTAAAGGATAATTCAAATTCTGGTCATAAAACATCACAGATCACACACTATATTAACAATGAACAGCAATATTTGAACCAGGTATAATATTACTGATTGATAAAAAGGTTAGAGAAAAACAACTTTTAAACTCCAGATAATTACAATAGAACTTGTATTTTAACCAATGTTTTGTGTTTTTGGCTTCGGAGTTAATACATAAGGTGAACATTTATTTTAATACAATTTCACTGCTTTAAAAACTATTTTAATGATGTACAATGACATAAAAACACATAAGTATGAGCAACAGCATGAATATACTACTTTAATGATGAATAATGATTTGAATACATGTTATTGTGAACAACAGCATGAGAAAAACTAGTTGAATGCTGAATAATGACTTGAAAAACAATTAGTGTGAGCAACAGCACAAAAACAAATTACAGTAATGGTTAACAACAGTTTGACAGAAAGCTTTTTCTTGTACTTTACAAAGTAATATGAAATATACACTGCATTAACAAGGAAAAAATTAAAGGAGAAGCTGTTAATAAATAATGACACATTAAACTCATTAGGCATGGTTTAATAACAAGTACTCACAATACAGACTGATGTTTCTTTATTACAGTATGGAGTCTTATTATTGCAGTCACAAGGTTCAGCCCAGCCCACTAAATCCAAGATATCTCTACTGTCGAAAAAATTGGGTTTTCTCTTTCGATAGAATCCATCAGATGGGTCCTACAGATAACATATAACCATTTCTTTGCTTGCATATTTAAAAGTCAATGAAAACATTAAAAAAAAATTAATTTTCTTACATTCGAACATAGATTAATATTAACAAAAACATAAAAAAGTACAATTTACAACTTAAGCTATTTGTAAACAGGCTGAGAATTGTGTAAAGTGATAAATTTTTACTCAAAAGTTGATGATGTTTAACCCTCATTGAAGTTTAAATATTTTCAGAATTAATGATAAGCATAAACTACCACAAGAAAAAAAGAAAGAGCTGAAATATTATAGATCTAGTTGTTTAAATAATAATTTGATGCAATAAACAATTCAAGGAAAGGTCACATAACCTATCGACTAAGTTGTTCACTATTACAAGATGCTAAAAGTACACTAATCATTTACGTTGTGACTATTACACAAAAGGTTTAATAATCATTGCAAAAATGAAAATTTTTTAAACTTAATCATTGAGGGAATTTTGCATACTTTCCACTTAAATTAATTAGATTTCCTACAATATCTATAAACTTTTGAAAAAGTTTCCAGTAATTCACAAAGAGTATCAAAACATGCACACACTCAAACACATTAAACACATCATTATTTATGATGCACATTTTTTTTACTCATTTTTCTTCCACATTATCTGTTCAATTTTTTGATATATCATAAAAAACATTACTATGTACATAAGTATTTCCAGTATAAGGAAAGTCTCTGCAGATCATTAAGTCTGTGTTCACTTGTCATATTGAATTGACTGACTGAAAAAGCAGCAAATTTTGGAAATAAAGTTATTACAACCTCAATATAACTATAAAAGCAACAATCTCAAATGAAGATGTGAAGTAAAAGAAACAAACAGCAGTTATGAAACAGTTTACAACTGTTACCTGACAAGAAAGGCCTGTATAATGAGGTGGACATCTACAGTCTTCTACTCCAATAGCTTTGGAAGAAGTTTCAAGACGGGAAGATACCTGTGTAGTCACTTGCATGGATACAAAATTTAACCTATGTATCATGTAATGAAAACAATGAAATATGTACTGAAATATGGTTAAAGTAATTAATTAATGCTACTTGCATTAAAATTCATATATCAGTTAATACAGATATTAGGTTACACATCATAAGGTGTGGGGGGGGCTTTGATTTTTGTACCTAGCTGAGCATTAATTGCAAATGCAATGCTAGATGATAATACAAGTCTATTAGAAAATGCAATACTATGCACTTCCATTTTTGAATTAAAGGTTCTATAGTGATCTATTCTGAAACTTTATGAGTACATCTCTTATGTAACAAGTTTCTGATTTTAAACCATGTCAGATTCATAGCTTCCACAGCCATACAGTGATATATTTACCTACATTAAGGCATGCTTCTCTCATAGTGAAGTCAAACATAAATGTCATGAAAGGTTTCTAAACAACTATTCACAATTCAAACTGGGTGAGGTACACAATGTATGCAGTTGTACACATATCTCAAAAGTAGATCTTAAAAGGAACCAACCATGTAAATTAAGCATGTGATAAGATGTTTCCAAATTAAAGTTAACTTTCAAGCAAAATCAGACTCAAATCTAAAACTGTACAAACTTTAGACAAGATTTTCTCATGATTAAGTTAAATATGTGGTAAGGCTTCTAAATAGTCCAGAGATAAAAGTGGGCCAGGTTCATACATACGTACACACACACACGTATATATATACAAATTCATAAAAATATCTCATATTCAACTATTGTAAAAACTTTAGTAAGCTAATTCCTCACACAGTTTTCAAATTCAGGATAATAACTGTTTCAATCAAACTAAACTCATAAAAACATGTAAGGTAATCCAAGAATCTAAGTTAATTAAGCCAAGGAAGAAAATATTTCATCACTGGTAGCAAATTGTATCATAAATTTATAAACAGGGTTCATACATTTGTGTTCTAGAAAATATTCATAACTTTTCTTAGTCTTGTTTCAAAATTTCCAATTTTATGCATTAGGAACATTGAAATGTTACTGTTAACAGCCAATTTAACTTTTTACAATATGTCATTATAGTAATATTAGGTAATTTAAATAGAAAGTCTCCGACTGTTAAAACTTTCTGATATTACACAAACTTAATAATCAGAAGGGTATCATCAATCTTAAAAATTTTAAGATCATTAAAATTCTCATGGGAGATTTAAGGTCTACACATTCTTTGATTAAATGTCATAAGTATATGTACCTAAAATATTTCTTAATACATAAAACAGTTTTTTTACTGGAACAATATTACACAATTTATCCAACATCTTTAAAACATTTTATTTCCCAGTTTTCTAGACCTAGATTGTCAAAATTCTTATTTTATTTACTTCTAATAAAATCCTTGTATAAAGCATATAAAAGTCAGTTCCTATAAACCATTAGTTTGAATTTAAAAAGGAATGTTGTTCCACGACTATGTAATATAAACAAATTACAATTTAAATTTGAAATGCACAATAGCATCTGCATAAAAAAAAAATTAGAAAATATTTTTTTCATATAGAAGTACAAATTAAATAAAATGTTTGTAGAGATTATGGCCCTTCCTATTACAAAACTATCAGTTAGCTTTTATCTCTTCTTAAATGAGCAACAAACCAATTAACAATTCAGAACTGAGGAAATTTTTTTTTTAATAAGACATGCATATTTCAATAACAATACATTTTTTTTGCTAAGTTTCAAGCTACTTTATAAACAGTTAATACAACAAACATTTCTAGAACAGTTAAGTAGAGTGATTAACTTGGCTACCTATAAGCATCAGTTATAACTTCAGAATGCAAGAAATCCAAAAACTCCATAAAAGTAATATAAGAATAGCTGACTTTAGTTAAAATAATTTGGTAGTATTAGTTAACAATATATGTAGAATTAAATCAACATTGTGTGCGTGTGTGTACATACGTACATATTTACAAACACACACATAAAAAAAAAACATTATAATAAGATCAAAATTCAGAATTATTGTTCCATTACCAATCCTCATTGTCATCCTTGAGTCATAATGTATAACATTTGTGGTCATAACACCCAAATGCATTGGGGATATTCCATCTGTCAGACAAAATCCCAACGCCAATGTCAAACTCACCAGCAGCTAAGGAAAATCAGTTATGGGTTGGGAGTTGAGTGCTTGAACTCACAACATCCGAGCTCCTACCACATTTTGCTGTCTGCAGCCAGTTGTAGGAATGCAGTTCCCCTTAATATTTATATATATAACTAAAGTAAAATTAAACCACCCTAAAATTCTACAATGTAAAACCCGCGACCTCCACCCTTTCATTTAATAATTAGTATTGTTAAACAGAACTAAAAACCCTTACCTTAGTAGTTCTTAAGCTTCATCCTCCTGTCTTTGCCTTGAAATTTTGCTCAAATATAAACCAGATGAGCTGAGAAAAGTCCAGCTACCTGAAGTTGACCTTTCTGTTCCAGTATACTGTTAAAGTTAGTTACTTAACCAAGGATAAGCTTGAGTAACTAATGCTCTCTAAGATCCCCACAAGCTAGTTTCTGTCATCGAGAGTTTAATTATTAATATAATTTCATATTTATTACAAAAAAAGGATGAAAATTTGTTTTATATACCAATCCTTATAACTATTATTTTTCAATTTATTTATTTATGAATAGTTTAAGATTATCCATAAAAGAATTACTATTATTACAAATTGTTAAAAATCTTTTTTAATTGGGAGATAATAATTCTTTTAACAATATAGACAAAACAACACTGTTAGGGATAAAAAGACCAAGAATGTGAAAATCAAATTCCCTTCTTTTGTCAAAAAATAGTCAGCTGTATCCTGCCTTTTACAAAATTAATATCTACATCCAAGTAACGTGCATGAATATCACTGCTATTACTTCTTTCTAAGTTCTGTTGGATATATTAAGTTTGGATCAAAGTTCAAGTTATTGAAATAAATTAAATTGTCTGTGTAATGAAGTGTCTAAATATATAGATTGGAGATTAATACCCATTTCAAAAATGAATTTTCATAGAAGAAAAGATACAAGTTGGCCATGTTTCAGTTGGCCACTGATCGGAATATCTACTGTTTGATTAAAAAACTTCATTAAAAGTAATATATCTATTATAGACACACTGATGTTTGGAGAAATTGTATTTTGGGAATAATAATTTCTGTATTTATAAATATATCAAGTAGCTCATTTGAGACCCTGATTAAGTCTTTTGGATCTATTTTAGTAAAGTACCAAGTAATAAACGTTTTGTAAATGTAAAATGATGTAGAGATGGTAGTGCCAAAAAGAATGCAGACAAGAATATAGGGATGATACAGTTATACATAGATCATCCATAAATAACTTTCAATATTAATATTTAATGTTACACTACAATGCACGAGTATAAAAATGGTTATGAGGTTGGTCAATTTGACTGACGTTGTAACAAGAGTTTGTAATAATCATGACATGTTTTGACTCAACTTGGTTTCTCTTGTAGGCAAGTCCTGGGCTCTTTGTTACACTACATTGATGCATACCCTGACATGACCATAATATTATGATAAACAAACTGCATACCATCCGTCAGAAATATATAACTTCCAAATGCAGTAATACTAAAATAAAGTGTGCATAGCTATGTATAGCTGTATCATCCCTATATTAATGTTTGCATTCGTTTTGGCAATGCCATCCCTACATCATTTTACATTTACAAAATTATTTTTATTTCTTGTTTTGTAACATTTTTTTCCCTGCTTGAAAGTTAGTGTATTCTCCAAATGAGTGTAATACAATTTAATATTATGTATATTGAATTTTTTTTTACTCCTTCATTTCATACATAATATAAGGTTTGGCTCCCTAAACACACTGACTGTATATGTTACAAATCACTGGGTATTTTATATGTTACAGTCATCTAATGTTCATTATTATTGGCTGGTAATTCCTGTTTAATCCTATACTTAAGCTTTTAAAAAGAACACCAGATTTCTGTACAAAAAGAGAACTTTAAGATAACATCGTTTACACTAGAATTATGATTTTTCTTTTTCTAATTACTGGTTAGTTGTTACGACTAAGCGATGACATCGTACACTGCCCAGAAACACAGAGTGGATGTAGGTTTAATCTGACACTAGTGATAAAGTAGTTGTAGTGTTATCTCGACTGAAACAAGAAAGATGAACAATTTGGTGGGTTAGTTTTTTGCTTTGTTTTCAGTCTTGTTGGGCATAGAAACAAATGAAAGTGAGTGGCAATCATCTTTTAAAGTAAAAATCTATATCATTGTAGATTTTTAGCATGCATATTTGTATTATGCTTATCAAGTTTCTTGGCCATCACTACATATAGAGTCTATGGTAATAGAGTTGGCTGTTTCTAAAGAGTTTAAGTTCATTAAATAATCCAAAACTGGAATATTGTTTTTAAGGATCCAAAAATTAAACTAAATTAAATTAATAATTAAAAAAAAATCTTAAAGCCGGCCCTTATCATTCATAAACTTATCAAGCTTTTTCTTAAACTCAAATTTACTGCTTCTACAACATTCGAATGCAACCCATTCCAAAGGCCAACCACCCTGTTAGAAAAATAAAACTGTCCTTCCTTGCCAAAATTTATATTTGTGTCCTCTAATCCTTCTATTCTTACTGTTAAATATGAAAAAAAAGATGATGCATGAACAATATCAACTCCATTTACAATCTTAAATACCTCAATCAGATCTTCCTAACTCTTTTTTTTGAAAAGTAAACAATTTGAGAGATTTCAGTTTCTCCTTGTATGACAACCCCTCCATCACAAGCATCATTCTAGTAAACCTTCTCTGAACCATCTCCGACAATTTAATGTCTTTCCTAAGATAAGGAGCCTAAGACTGAACACAACATTCCAAAATGTGGCCTAACCAATGACCTGTACAATGAAAGTATAACCTCTTTAGACTTGTGTTCAATATTTCTGTAGATACAACCTAAAATCCTATTTG